TTGCTGTTTCCGATTTCAATTTACCATAATTGCTCATCAAATCCTTCACAAAGAAATACTCAATCATTGGTGATTTAGTCAATCCATTGAGCTCATCATCCATAACAATGCAAAAATGCAATGGTGTTGGCAACTGATAAACTTGGGTTTGTAGTTACCTTTCTCTTTGAACATTTGGTGCAGCCAAACAACTTCTTCTTGTCTTCTTGTCAGTATTCATATTTGCTGTATTGGCAACAATAATCACAGGTGTTCCCCACAATCAACAATCATCACAGGTTGTTCTTTTCTTCCAGGTTAAAATCCTCTAACACATCTTTTGCAATTGCTTGAGCTTCCCATTCTTCAATTTGAGCATAGTCAACTTAATTTCTTTTGCTTCATTCTTAAGGACTTTGACTTGATATTCAAAGCCATCTACTTGTTTGCTGTGAAAGTGTATGCTCTTTTGTATATAGCAGCTCTTATGTATATAATTTCGTATATCGCTGACTGGTATAAAGTTGGGACTTTAATGCCCTCCCCAGAAAGCTGGCGGCATACCTTTGCTGCTCTGTGGAAAGACAGCTTTAAGATTGTAACAAGACAACTTGCAATGGGTGTTGAGTTTTGCTACCTTTTTCTTGTTTATGCTTCAATCTCATTATGCCAAGAAGTGTCTGCTGTTTTCTGATGAGTTGGAGTCCATACTACTTACAGACCAATCAGGTGGTGCTGTACTGGCAACTGTGGACAATGTTGCTTTGATTACCTTCTTTCATTTGCACGGGTGGATGGTCTTGGCAATAGCAGGTTTGCCAGTGGAATAACCAACCTGGCCTTTGCTCTCAATTTGCAGTTTATACAGGTTCTCATCCTTGTTGCACAACCATTTATCTTTAACCTTAGTGATGTTAAACAGTTTATTCAATGCATTAAAGTTTTGTTTCTTTCTGCAGCCCTCATAGTTTTCAAAAGTTTTGCTAATTTTATACAAATGACTTGATCAGTTACATGCGGAAAGTTCAATCTTTTGCTCCATAGGGCTTGAGGCTCAACAATAATTACAATGATTCTCTTTTTTCTCCTTTGGTGGTGGATTCAAGAAATTTGAAGCACCAACTGATTGTTTTTCTGAGGCATATGACTTCTTTCACCCAAGGATGCTTTGTAAACTGCTACTTTGCCTCTTCTTGATGGTGTTTGAAACTGGATTAAGTTCTTTGAAACTTTAAACAACATGTTATATTCTAGAAATTATAGAAAACAAAAAAAGTAAGATACTAATAAATTATTATATGCACAGTTATATGTTTGTATATAAAGTACAAAAATCAATGTAGCTCACCAAATAATACAAGATCACTTTTAATTAGGCAATAATACTTTTAGTGTTGACACAAAATTAAGCTAACTTAAACTTAACTATCTGTTTTGAAAACTCACTTATAAATCAAAATGAGAATTAATTAAATTACAAAAGACATGAGAATGATTTTTAGTAGATGGCACAAGAGATGCCAGCTCTTTAGAAAATTATAGTATTTATAGAAAAGGGAAAGAGAAGCAACATTACAACGATTTGATAATGGTTTGAGGTTAGCTTCAAGAGCAGCTCCAACTATGTTTACAATGCGTTTTTGCACCTTGTCTAAAAGAGAAAGGGTGTCATTGGATGACCCGCGCTAGATATAGCAACAGTATTCCATACAAAGATAGATTTGAGATTTATAGAGATAAAAAAAAGAATCGAGAGTAAGAAAGTGGCAAGCACTATAAAGAGATGCAACCTTAGCAGATACTAGTTTTTCAATTGATTTAATATATGGTTTCCAAGAAAGATTAGAAGTAAGAGTTAGTCCTAGAAGATGAAGGGTAGATGACTCATTGAGTAAATTACTGTTCATAAATATAGGAAGATCTAGATTATTGTGATTCAGTTTTATCTGAATTAAAGTTCACCAGCCATTGAAAGCCCCATGCAGCATATATATATATATATATATATATATATATATATATATATATATATATATATATATATATATATATATATATATATATATATATACCCATATAGTGTCGCTTTAAGAGCATTTTAATGTAAAAAAAGTCTCTTACGACTACAATTTTAATTACGTCGTCTCTTAAGCTGTTTTTGATTGTCATCGAAATGTCAAAGCAATTAATTTATGCGGAAGTACATTAAATTTAATTGCTTTTTTAAAAAACCGCAATTATAACGACTAGAAAGTTTTTTTTAATTAGTGGTGTTTTTAATAAAAAACATTTTTTAAACATGCGTAAATGTTGCTACATCGACTATCTTATAGCCTGACTCGCAACAGAGTGCTGCTACATCGACTGACAAATAGCCTGACTCGCAACGGAATGCTGCTACATCGACTGACAAATAGCCTGACTCGCAACGGAGTGCTGCTACATCGACTGACAAATAGCCTGACTCGCAAGGGAATGCTGCTACATCGACTGATAAATAGCCTGACTCGCAAGGGAGTGCTGCTACAACGACTGACAAATAGCCTGACTCGCAAGAGAGTGCTGCTACATCGACTAAGGGTTTGGTTTGGCCAGGCAGTCTATCAATTAAAAAAAAAAAATTAATTTTTAAAACTTTTTCTGGTCTGGTTTATTAACGCGCTCTTTAAAACTACAGTTTATGGGAAATATTTTTTGATGCTACGCAAGAGACATGCAAGAGTATATGTATATATATATATATATATATTTATACATGCATGTATATATATATATATGAATATACATATGTGAATGCAGCATAGTTAGCTGCAGGGGCTTCAGTAAATACATAGGCAGACTATCTAGGTAGAGCATGCAAGGAAGTGCCACTACATTGACTGAGGGTTCTGGTTGGGGTAGCAATTTTTTTTTTAATTATCTTTTTTTTCCTTCTTTTTCTGAAAAATTAAAGCTCACGTTTTAAAAACTAAACCCCCCAAATATATAATGAAGTTGTGTCCTTAAGCACATGGTATTTGTTATATGTACTGAAGCTCTTGCCACCTACTTGAGCTTCAGTACAGATTTTAGGTTAGGACAGGCATTATCTAAAAATGAAGGACTTTTATTACGGCAAAAAACTGCATGCATTCAATTGCTTAATGTCTTTATTTGAACACCTTAAGCAGTTAAATGATTTTATAACGATGTTAATGAAACACATTACAATCTTATGACAAAACTGAAGTTAAAAGCTGTATAAAATATTTTGCAAAAACAAAAATAAGTTAAATAATCTTTGTGCTTTCTGCTTATGAAAGGGATGGTAAAGAGCATGATATTCTATTTCTTATTTAACTAGCTTTGTAGGACATAAATAATTGAGCAAGTATGACATGGTGTGCACAATTTTTGTTTGAGAGGACAATCAAAACAAAACTTTGATTTTTGAATTATAGATTAAATAGTTTATATCAAATTGAAATTTGAAATTTGAGTTTGAATTTTGAAACACAAGATAAAAAAGTTCTATTTTGAGCTGTACACACAAAATTTCATACAGTAAAACTATTTAAACTAAATACCTAAAGCTTTAAACTAGAATGTTTATAGAAACAAAAATACCTAAAGCTTCATTAAGTTTATTATAAAATAACATATGAAAATTGAAATTGTTTTTTTTTTTAGCTTTTAAATTTAAAAGAATAAAAGTATTAAGTGGACCACGACAATAAATTTTTATTTATATTGAGCCTTATGTGTTTATGTAAAAATAATTTTAGATATTTGATGTAAAAGATCGTGCTGGATTAATATCTGATGTTTTTGCTTTTGCTGAGTAAGTTGATTTTTTTTTTAATTATTTAAAAAAATTCGATAAAAACGTTTATGTCTATGACTTTCTTTTTCAGTTCTGGTCTTGTTAGCTATACTGTTGCTTTGGATTTGATTGCTTATGCTGGTAATGAAACTGAATACATCCCGTGGGCAGCTGTACGTGATGCTACAACATCAATACGTTCATTGTTACCACAAGGTGGAAAAGCTTCCAATTTGTTTAAAGTAAATAATTTTATCAGTTTATTTTATTTACTATTATATTAACATACTCATTCTATAAATGAGTACAGGCCTTGCTAAGAAGCGTTCCCCTATTTGAATTTTAGGTGCGTATTCACCATTTCACGTACACGTTTTGCAATTTATGTTATGCAATAATTTTTTTCAATAAATTTATTTTAAACAGTCTTTTAAAACAGATTATGCGGAAAAAACATCTGTAGAATATTTTTTTTATTAGATAAAAAAACAGATAGATATCCTTTTTTTAAATGTTTAATTAAAAAAAATGTAATAATTTTAATTCAAGTTACTTTAAAATGTTTGCATTACATACAACATTTTAATTTCAGTTAAGTTTCAGGTAAGTTCCAGTTCCAAACACTGGTTTGAATAATGTGTTTTTGTAGATAATAAATTTTGTAGATAATAATATTGTTATTCGTAATTTTAATAATTAATATAACCTAACTTTGATAAATATCAAATTTATGGGGTTGTGCCTCCTGTGTATCTATGCGGTTCTGTCCCAGAGAACACATTTTAGAAAGAATACAGTTTATACAGTTTATACAGTTTATATTAACATAATCATTCTATATATATATATTAACATATTCATTCTATACAGGCCTTGTTGAGAAGCGTTTCCCTATTTAAATTTTATGATTTCACGTATGCGTTTCGCAATTTACGTTATGCAAAAACTTTTTTCAATAAGTTTATTTTAAAAAGTCTTTTAAAACCGATTATGAGGAAAACATTAAACTGTAATTAATTGTTGTAAAAAAACATCTATGGAATATTTTTTTTATTAGATAAAAAAACAGATAGATATCCTTTTTTCTATTTTTTTTTTTTTTTAAATATATATATTTAGTTTATTTTATTAAATTTAAATTAATTTTATTATTATTCATAGTTTAAATAATTTATTTGATTTAATTTATTTAAAATTCTTTTAAAAATTGCGGTAATCTTTGTTTAATTACAATTTTTATTTTATCAAAAGCCAGTTAGCGCAAAGGTTTTTTTAAAAGGAGGAAAACCCAATCTAATTGTGTAGTAAGTACACTTATATCCCTTAAAGAAAATCAACCATAAACAAGTGTCCCCTTATTTTAAAAAAAAAAACAAACAAAGAATGTTTTAAAGAAAAAAAAATAAGTTTAAATAAGTATAAGATTTTAAAGCAAGGAAATTTTTTTTTAATTATCATTTAAATTTAATTTATAACTTTTTTTATAGCAATATTGTTTAATTTGAAGATATTTCTTTTAAAAGACTTACATTAATTTTTAATGTGTTTTTGAATTTAATTACAATGAGGTATTTTAAAATACGCAACTGACGCAATTAAACTTTTAACGATATAAATATCTTTATTTAATAAAGTTTTATTTATTCACATTGCGCTTTTCCGCTATGCAACAAAATCTCATAACAAGGCCTGTGAGTATATATATATAGGGGAAGTTGGGGCATAACCTAGGCTGACCAGACATACTCTTTTTTAGAGTATTATACTCTTTTTGAAGTAAAACCTTTCATACTCTCTCTTTTTTTTTTAAATCCTTTAATATATTCTTTTTTTTTATGATGGATATATTTTCTTTTATTGAGCAAAAACTTTCTTATTTAAAAGAAAATAATAAATTTTGTGCTAAACAAGGTAAAATCTTAACTTTTTGCGCCGAACTTTAAACAGATTTTTATCGTTACTGTTCTGTCAAAAACAACTCAACTTTTTTGACAATAATTTAATTGCGGACGCATAGCAATCAAGTTTTTATGAAAATGTCTAGAGGGAAGTGAAAATTTTTGGATATATTTGAAGAAACCTTTGCATTTGCCAAAAGAGTGAAAAGTGATCAACATAGCTTTTTCTGCACTATATACAATACAGCAGTTTCTATAATTAATAAAGGCAAATTTGATATTATTCAACACGCAGCTTCAAAAAAGCATAAAAAATGTTCATCAGTTTCTACAACACAAAAAGTTAGAGACTTTTTTTGCTGTAAGGATTTAACTACTTATGAAGCAAAACTTACAGCCCTTGAACTTCTATGGTCATACCATAATGTAAAGCACGATCATTCTTTTAGGGATATGGACTGCACATCAAATTTATTGAGAAAATCCTGTGATTATAAGTTTGCGTGTGGATGAACCAAGTCAGAGTGTCTTGTAAATAATATAATTTTAAATTGGTCTGAAGATTTGTTAAACAAAGACTTGAAGAATGCAAAATTTGTTGTTGTGGCATGTGATACATTGAACCACAAAAATACGAAACTTCTATCTATTATAGTAAGATACTGTGTTGTTAAACCTGCTATTGAAATTAAGTATAGTATTTTGAAAATTCATAATCTTCCAAATGAAACAGCAGAAACAATAACAAAAGTTGTTTTAGAAGATATAAATTTTTACAACATACATGATAAAATAATTGGATTTTCAGCAGATAATGCAGCAGTTAACTTTGGTGCTTTACCAAGTAAAAAAACTGAAGGTAATATTCATTCAAAGCTTGAAAAAGATTTAAAGAGAGAAATTTTGACAATAGGCTGCGCTGCTCATATAGTGCATAATGTCCTATCTGCAGCTACTTCAAAGATAATTCCAATAGATATAGAAAAAATAATGTTTAAAATATATCATCATTTTGATATATTTACTGTTCGAACAGAAACGTTGAAAGAATTTTGTGTCTTCATTGGATGCCAATTTAAAATGGTTCTATAACATTCAAAAACACGATGGCTATCTTTATCGCCATGCATAGACAGAATACTTAGAATGTATGAACCTTTGAAGTCATACTTTCTAAGTGAGGAAAATGCACCACTTGCAATTTTTAATTTTTTTAATTCTGGATCTTCTGAATTTTAGTTGCTTTTCCTTCAATTATAATTTCATTTGTTTGGTGAGACTGTGAAAAAGATAGAAAGAAACGATAAAAGTGCAGTGGAAGTATCAACTCAGTTTTACAAACTACTAGCAAATTATGAAAATAGACTTGAAAGCAGATTTATACCATTTATGGCAGATAATCTTTTAAAAAAAGTAGAAGCAGGAGAAATATTAGATAGAGATCATGTTATTTCTATTGTAGTGAAATTTTATAGCACTATAATTGGTTATTTAAAAAAGTGGTCTGGTAAATTTTGCAATGAAGGAAGGAATATGAAATACTTTTGTTAAAGGAAAAATTTTCATATAAGGATTTTAAGTGTATATTTATTCCCTTAATAAAACTAAATCATTACCTATTTCTGTCATAGATGATAATGAAATTTTTGATTCTTATTGTTTTATCAAAGCTTGTTTAGATAAAAATCTGGAAAACTGGGAGGCTGAATCTGTTCCTATATTTTCTAGATGGAAAATTGTTTTAGAAGGTTTAAATAATGGCAATTTTGTAGTAAAGCTTCAACTGCTGGAAATGCTGCTTTAGTATTTACTGTTCCAGGGACTAATGTAGAATGTGAACGCTTAGTTCACATTCTACATTAGTTTAGTGTGTCAATATTGGAGAAAAGACAAAAGCCATTTAAAAATTAGTGCACTTGAGAGTGTAATGAAAGTAAAAATTAACATTAGTCTTACATGCGATTAATTTTACAAAGAAATAAAAGAAAACAAATATTTGTTACAAAAAGCAAAAGATTCTGAAAAGTATCTATAAATGATTTTTATATAATATATCATAGGTTGTATTGGCTATACACCCTTGTGTTTTCAACCTTTTTCGATGTATAATATACAGATGTTCTATTTGTGTTTTCAACCTTTTTTTGATGTATAACATATATAGTTTTTACTTGTGTTTTCAAACATTTTTCAATGTATAATATACAGATATTATACTTGTGTTTTCAACCTTTTTTTGATTATAATATACATAGTTTTTACTTGTGTTGTCAAACATTTTTCAATGTATAATATACAGATATTTTACTTGTGTTTTCAACCTTTTTTCGAAGTATAAAATACAGAGATTTTACTTGTGTTTTCAACCTTTTTTACATTAAAAGGTTTATAATAAAATCATTAAAACCCAAAGTTTTTTGGGCTACGGTTGAATTTAGGAAATATACTCAGAAAAATCTCGTCAGCCTAGCATAACCGCCCCCGTAACATTTGAACTTATGTTATATGAAAATAAAAACAAAATGTATATTCTTAACAGTTTATTTCTATAACCACATTATTAAGCTTTAAATTGATTCAATTAAGGAAAAAATTAAACGGTTTTTGAAAATGTTATTACTCAAAAATTACACTAAGTGAAAAAAACTGTTTTGCCCCCATTGTGATTTACAACCGCACCCTCACAAAAATCATTGGGGGTACACTTTTCTAAATACATTTTCTTTACAATTGCCATTTCTCAGATTATTTACTAATTTTGTTGCATATTTGTAGACTGCGTAGGCATTCTTTGTATTTACAGTCTAAATTTTCTCGATATACTTTTAGCTTTATATTTTAATCATTTACAAAAAATAAATTTAAAAAAATATGAAATCTAATTTCCAACATCTCAAAACAAAACTATTTCTATTCAGGTTTTTATAGTTATTTTTTTAGTTTTTATATGGACGCATTCTAGTGTGAAGATTGTAATTATTGTTATTCACAATTACTTAACTTTGATAAATATCAAAATTATGCAGTTGTGTCTCCTGTGCATCTATGCGGTTCTATCCCAGAGAACAGGTTTTAGAAAGAATACAGTTCCATAGCTTACTTATTAGGTTATGTTGATATCAAAAATGGTTCTTACTTGATGAAATAATGCTGATAGCACATATTTTTAACACTAAAATCAATTAATGCTTAATACTCAAAAGAAAGGTCTGGAAAAATATGATGTAAATATAATATTTTTATCAAAATAAATATTATGCACAACTTCTCAGAATTGTAATAGGCTCTCTTTTGACATAAGCCAAATGAAGGAAACTGTTTTACTAACGCGTGGTATGTTTTTTGTAGTATTAGATATCATATTTCAAAGAAAAATGTTAAAAAATGGTTGTGCCTTCATATGTGGTTATGCTGTAAATACAAAGAATGCCTACGCAGGCTACAAATATGCAACAAAATTAGTAAATAGTCTGAGAAATGGCAATTGTAAAGAAAATGTATATATATATATATATATATATATATATATATATATATATATATATATATATATATATATATATAAATGTATAATAATATAATATAAAAAGTAAATACCTTAAAAAAAATGGATGATGACTATATGAAGCCTTGAATTAAAATGATAAAATTTAAAAAAATTTTCTTATTTTGAAAATATTTACACATTTTGTGCTATAAAGAAGTTTTGGAAATACTATTCAGAACGTTATTGTGTTCAGTATCTCTTCTATTTTTATAGACTGTTTCTTAAACTTTCTGCCAACTATTTTGAAAAGGAATTATTAATTTTACATTAATTTTATTAGTAGCTTCTAAATTAGTTTATACTTGTATGGAATAATTGATAAATAATATGAAATTTTTTAAAAAAGCTAATGGAAGACTGAAAAAAAACTTAGATAACTGCAAAAAGTGCTTTTCCTAAAAAATAATATTTCACTTTCAAATAAATTTTACCCGCAACTTAAAAAATTTTTTGTTATTGCTCATGGTTTAAGGAGATTATTTATCTATGCAATTATCTATATTGATGATGTAAATGCAATCAGGGAGTCACATTTGATCTCAAAATGTCTGATTGAAAATTAAATAATGTTTTTTTTTTTTATCTAAATCAAACGATAATTTTGTTTTAGAAATTTCTTCTTCAGAAAGTTCGAAAATTGTTTGACATATATGGGTTTGAAAATGTAGCTAATTATAAAGAAAGGTAAATTTTGTTTATAATTTTTGTTATTGTTAGTTTTTTGCTTTTTTTGTAAATCATGATTTGATGATTTAAAAAAAATTATTTAGTAAAAACATTTTTTCAATAATAATTTTGCATAAACTTTGTAACTTTGATACTTATTAAAGAAAGATCAAAAAATTACATTGATCAAAAAATGTTGATCATGAAGATCAGATCAAAAAAACAACTTTATCTTAAATAACTTTTAAATAACACACAAAAAAATCAGAATCTGTTGTTATTATAATTATGATAAAATGGTAATACAAATTATGCACATATTCAAACATAAAACAGTCATTTTACTTATGAATCTTTCATCTTAATTGCTCTTGAGAGCTCCTTACAGTTTAGTAGAATTTTTCGTTTGATTTATATAATAATAATCAAAATTGTATATATTAAGTAATATTAAATATAATAATGTAATATAATAATATAATGTAATATTAAATACATTCAATTTTTAAAAATATATAAATATCAATAAAGTAACATAGCAAAATAATGAATAACTAACATATAAAAATATACATAGAGGTACTAATAATCCTACATACAAATTCAACTTAAATAAAAATCAACAAAATTTGTTGTTTTTTATTTAAATTGAATGTTATTTTATGACCAGGATTGTGGAGTTGGAGTTGCGGAGTTACAACATTGCGGAGTTAGAGTCACTAAACAAAGTCGCAACTTCAACTCCAATAGTAAAACTTCTCGGTATTGCACGTGCATTTAAAAAACATTCAATTAACCTTATGTTCATACTATTTGACAAAAAAGAAATTTTTAACTTATTGTGTAATATTTTAAAGAATTCAAAGAATTTTTCAAAAATTTTGCTTTGGAGTCGGAGTTGTGCTCAAAAAATTTCAACAACTGGAGTTGGAGTTGTACTCAAAAAATTTTAACAACTGGAGGCGGAGTCGGAGTCGTTACTTTTTTTTACAACTCCACACCCCTGTTAATGATATTAATTTTAAAATTATTATTCATTACCTGCATAAACATTTATGTTTGTTTTTAAAAATTATAAAAAAGTCAGGAAACAAGTTAATATTGCCCCTATTTTTTTCAATTTATATCTAAACAGAAAATTATTGAATATTATCAGAGATTATTAACATTCTTCAAAAAAAATTTAGATTTCATTTCAAAAATGCATAGAACTAATACATTTCTTTGAATTGTTAAATTTAAATTGTTATTTTGTTTTCTCTCACTTCCTCACTCAGACTTATTAATGAACAAGCTTTATTAAAGACAAAAGCAAAGCAGACAAGCTCTATAGTTTTTAATAAAAAGTGAATGAAATCTCATCATTTGCTACTCTATTAGGAAAGCTACTTGCTGAATTCAATCTCCTAATAGTTATTTATGTGTACCACTGAAATCGTTGTTCTCACTAATATCAAGCACAAGCTTCTTTTTACAATTCTTTAAATGTCTAAAATGTTCATTTTCCTAATTCTAATACATGTATGCCAAGCTCTGTGTTGGCTGCCTTTAATATCATTTATTATTTTGATATTATTATTAAGCTTTGCTTTGTGATAAGTGTTTAAAAGTTTTTGAAAAAAAAAATATTATGATAAAAATTTGAATTTATTTTATCTTTAAATCATAGTAAATATTTGAAAAATGGAAAAAAACATAAAAATGAAACAAACAACTTTATTAAAACAATCCAAATAAATTGATTTTTTTTATTTCTTTAACCGCTGTCTCTAGAATAGATGCATGATATGGTGGCATATAATATAGGTTAAATTCTCATGAATTCAAATTGATGACATAATCTCAATTGAAATTTTCAGCTTTGAAATACACAATAGCAAAAGTTTCTATGAATGTCAAAAAATGAACAAAGCCTCGAGTATAAAAAAAACTAATTCTTCTTAAACTAAAACTAAAACTTCTAATACTTTATTTCTTCCTTGACTTTTTTTCAAATTTAATACTTTATCTTGGTTTTCCAGGGTTTGTACAAGTTTTGCTGATTCAGCTAATTCTAGTTATTTTACTTGAAAATATTTTTAAAATTATTTATAATAATAGTGAGATTATAACTACTAATTTGAAAACAAAAACAAATTTCTTCTCATTACCACCTTTTTTCGTGATTCAATGATTAATGTTTTTAATAATTCTTTTTTGCATGTTTTAAATGAATAACAACTAATTAGAAATTAGGTTTATACAAATTTAACAAAATCGTTTTGTTGATTTTGTATGAAAATGTTTAAAAATGGTGTTTTAGTTTTGTAATTTTTAACTACATAATTATTGTACACTTTAAGAATATTAAAACACTATAACTACTTCAAATCTAACCCCCCCTCCCCCCATAACACACTGCATTTGGTCCAAAAGGTCCAAAAGTAGTCATATTGTGACATTGTCCTGATGTTGGTTCAATGTTATGCCTCTATTATTATTCTTATGTTAGGCCAACATATGGGTGCTAGCTGAGTATATTTTTTTTTAATCTATCTTAACAAAAAATTTATTTTTTAATTTTTATTTTTAATAAAAAGTTACAAAAAAGTTAAATTTAAGTTTTTTGTTTATTTTTTTAAGACATTTACAAGTTATTGTGGCTGCCTTTGCATGTAGTAGTGGTTATATCAACTGTTTAAAAAATGCCACTACACTTTTTGACAACTGGATGAATTCACCAAGCACTAACAAGTAATATATGATATTCATGTAATTGATCAAACAGCTATAGCATATAATAACTAAAATTAGTTTGATATATTTGTAGTATACCACCAGACTTTCGAAATATTGTTTATTACTATGGTGTTTATAATGGTGGGGAGAAAGAATGGGATTTCTTATACAATCAATACCTAACCTCCACTGTTGCTTCGGAAAGAACAAAACTGTTTTATGGCATGTCTGCTTCACAGGAAACATGGCTTATTGATAGGTAATTAAATTAATCCTAGTTTATCTGTAAAACAAAATGTTAACCTAAAATTTATTTCATATTAGATATTTATGTTTTGTTATTACATATTATTATAGTTTTCTATATTTTTAGATATTTACACCGTGCTTTAAACAAAACTATTGTAAAAGACCAAGATTTTTCATTTGTTGTTCAGTATGTTTCCAATAACAATGCTGCGGGAAGATATTTAGCATTCTCTTTCTTAAAAGAAAAATGGGCAGAAATATCTGACAGGTAAATTTTATTTTTATGGTATCATTGTTTGATTTATTGTCACAAAGGGACAATAAATCCTTTCCTAAGTACCTATTACTGCAATTACTTACATTACTAAATTGTTATTGTTTTTTTAAAAATAGTTATTAGTTTTCTTGTTTTGTTTGATTTTTTTATTTACTTATTTTTTTTAATTATTAGATTTACAAAATCATTTTTTACATTGAAACGTGTGTTTGAAGCAATTACTTCTGGATTTTCACGCGAATATGAACTAGAAATGGTAAGTAGATACATTAATGCTAAAAAAAATTTTTTCATTCATTTATGCATTTTTTGTTGTATATATTTTATTTTGTCATTTTCTGCAACATTTTTTGTTGTATATATTTTATTTTGTCATTTTCTGGCCCACAAACTCAAAAATTTGAGTTTGTGGGCCAACTTTATACATATATAAATGTATAATTGAATTATTGTGTCACATTTGAATTATTGTGTCACATAATTCAAATTTAAACAAACTAATTTTTATTAAAAAATGAAATAATGTTTATTAAAAAAGTATTTATTTAAATTTAAATAAGCTTGTATCTATTATTTTCACTTATATATTTTAGATATTAAGTTTAGAAATTAAAAATATACAATTTAAATGCTTTTTAAAAGCTACTAAAGCTCTTTAGTTCTTTATTGATGTTATTTTTTCACTGTTTTTTAATGTTTTTTAAAAAAATTCTTATACTGGTTGTTTGAACTTATAGAGTATTTAAAAATGTCCAAAACATTTGGAAAAAATCTTTAATCTCAAACTTTTTTACCTTAAAGACACTTACAATAAGTAACAATAAATAAACATTTTTTTTGCTTTATATATATATCTATATATATATATCTATATATATATATATATATATATATATATATATATATATATATATATATATATATATATATATATATATATATATATATATATATATATATATATATATATATATATATATATATATTTATATATATTTATATATATATCTATATATATCTATATATATATATATATATATATATATATATATATATATATATATATATATATTTATATATAATTATATATATATCTATATATATATCTATATCTATACATATATATATATATATATATATATATATATATATATATATATATATATATATATATATATATATATATATATATATATATATATAGATATAGATATATATAGATATAGATATAAATATATATAAATATATATATATATATATATATATAATATATATATATATATATATATATATATATATATATATATAGATATATATAGAGATATATATATAGATATATATATAAATATATATAAACATATATATATATATATATTTATATATATTTATATATATATATATATATATATATATATATATATATATATATATATATATATATATATATATATTTATATATATTTATATATATATATATATATATATATAAATATATATAAGATTCAGTATTTTTTTATTGTTCAGTTTTTATCATTTAGTGCTTATTTATTATAGCATTTGTACTTTTCTCTAAATCTAAACTAATGATTGCTTTGGTATTGAAACTTTGTATATTTCAATAATCAAAATTATCTAGTTGCAAACTTAATTTTAAATTTTAATTTTCTGTTTTTGAAGGTATTTGAATATTTTATTATCAAGTTTGCCTACCAATTCTTGCAAATCAAGTTCGATCGAAGATAAAAACATAAATTTTTCTAAAAAGAGACAATCGTTGATCGGCTGTTATTTTCAGTGATGATAAATATATATATATATATTATATATTTTTTAGGCAAAGAGAAAGGTGATTGTTTTCTATCTGCTTAGTAAATGATTGAGAAGAAGTGAGACAAATTTACTTAAAAAATAATATAATGATTTGTGTTGATTTACTAGCTTTATATTTCTTTTATGTGTCACCTTTCTCTTAGTCTTTTATCATTGTCTCACTTTTTTAGACTGCTCTGTTGAAAAATCGTCCTTTAACATTTTTCTCTCTTTTCTGATTCAAACTGATCAAGCTTTTTATTACTCAGTCATTATCATGACTTTAATTATTATCATGTTGATTGGTTTACAATCAGCATTACAATCTCAAACACACAGCTTGTAATCTTAACTCTTAACCTCTTAACTTATAAGAAATTAAAAAACACAAAACTTTATGACCATATACATATAGTTAACTTTGACTCAGACAACTCTAATCACTGCTTAATTTGTGCTTTGTCCCGACCTTGTCACCTATTTTGTGTACATTTTAGCTGTAATCTTGTAAAAAATCTTGTAAAAATCTTGTAAAAAAACATTTTAGCTATGACCATGATAGTATTGACAAAAAAAGAGATTCAGTTTTAAGATCGTAGAACAGTAGCTCAAGCTTGGCAAACATAGCAGATCCGATTAATATAAACCACTTGCATTAGAGTATGTTTTTAAACCTTGTCTAAAAAAACGAGGATCATCAGAAGAATTAGCTCAAATGTGACAAAACAAGGGCAAATAAGAGTATTGTAGAGGTTGAGAATGAAATTATGAGTAAGAAAATGACAAGCAAGATAAAGATAAGCAATCTAAGAAAATGCTAATTTTGCAGTTAATTGTATATATAGTTTTCATGAGAGGTCAGTAGTGAATGATAATCCAAGAAGACATAAAGTAGAGAACTCAGTGAGAGGGTTGCCATTTATCAATATAGAAATGTTACAATATTACAATAATTGTTGGCAGTAAATAAGTTTTGTTGCAGTTAAAGTTCACAAGTCTTTGTTAGCTATAAAGTGTTACAGAAGAGATATCAGAGTCAGGATTGGCTGCTTGTTCTAAGTAATCAAAAAAAAAAAAAAAGACCTTTTTTCAAGACAGGAGTTGATTCATTAGGAGCCATTTTAGATTAAAGATTGTCAGGAAGATCATTAAAGTAGAAAAGATACCATACCAAGGATAGGACCTTAACTCTTCAAGCTCTAAGACCTTAACAAATTACAAAGGCAATTTTGCAAAGAGAGAAAACTGATTAAATGATTTAAAAATTGGAGACACAGAACAAATTTGGTAACCACAGTTACCATTTTTCAGCTGGCAGGAAAACAAGATTCAATCAAGTACTTATCTAATAGTTTAGGGAGAATTAAAGAGAGTTCTGGAGAACACTTTTGTAAGACTATAACAAGAATGTTCTCTGGACTACAAAGCCAAAGAAGAGTTTTAATTGAGAACTTTAGCAATAGGATTTGTTTAACCAATTGAAAATGGGTTAAACAAATTCCATTGTTTAACCAATTGAAAATGGGTCAACCTGTTTAACTGGAATTAAACAAGTATTGCTATTACATTCAAGAGTCAAATTAAAGAAAAAGTTTTTTGCAAATGGTTTATTAGATCTTGAAGTTTTTTGCAAATGGTTTATTAGATCTTGAAGTTTTTTGCAAATGGTTTAGACTTTGAAGTTTTTTGCAAAGTACAAATTATTAAAAGTTAAATTATTAAAAGTTATAAACTTAAATTTATTGCATTTATTAAAATTTATTAAAAGTTAAAAACTTTTATTTATTATAACATTGTAAAAAAAGATCAATATCATCAACCTAAGATCAACATCATCCTATAATTGAAAGATTTTAGGGTTTTTAGGTTTGGTTTTTATATTTTTAGGATTGGCTTTTATATTTTTAGGGTTGGTTTTTATATTTCTATTGGAAGTAATAAAATAATGAGAACTATTTATTTTAAAATTTTTATTAAATGAACTCAAATTTAACAACAAATAAATTTAATTAAACATTTTAGGGGTGTTACACTTGTAACACCCCTAAATAAGGCATAAATTGTAACATCCCTAAATAAGACACTTCTAAATAAGGCATTTAACAGCATAGTATAGTTTTTTTTAAAAAAATGCAAAATGTTATCACACAACATTATGATAAAAAATGGTGTTAAAATATGTATTATCTAATTCTTCTCTAATGATGTTTTTTGTTTTGTTTTTATTATTTGTTTATTGCTTTTATTTTTTTCATGTTTTATTTTATTATTTATAAGGGCAGCTCTTTAGTTGTGAGGAAGGTAAAATACTTAGGAAAATGAAATCTACAATATAAACCCCACAATTGGATTTGGTTAGCCGCAATTCAATTATGGGTAATCTTAAAAAGCATGTAAACTTTGATGTTATTTTTCCAAAATTTTGCAACGGTTTTTACCCATTTTCGACTATCCTATCAATCTGAAATTTTGATCATAGTTTTTACTAACTTTTGACTATCCTAGCAATATGAAGTTTTGATACTTGATATCGATGGCATGACTATATATGATTTATGAATCTTTTGACTTATCATTTTACTTTTTCTATGCAGTTAACCTGGTTTTATTTAATTTTTTTGTAATTTAGGTATGTTATGTTGTTTATTGTATTTTAATTAATATTCGTTGCCCTATTACTTTTCAATTCATGTATTGTTCAAGCGAGAATGATGCTTTTTTACCAAAAAATGAGCTGCTAACAATATATCTGTTAAATAGATAATTTGTACAACTAAAAAAAACCAGAGGGCAAAAAAATGCACAGAATGCAACAATTATTAACAAAATCACAAACAATATACTGGATCTATGGAATAGTGTATCCATTCCTATCGTTCATCCTAAAACACTTAAAAAACAACTTAAATACCAAATTGCTGTCATAACAAACTTGATAAAAGTTTATGTTTTCAAATTAAAGTACATTCCAGCAGTTTACTAAATTATGCAACTTTGTGAAGGAATGAGTATGTCTACAAATACACCGTGCTTACTATGTAACATCCACCTTAAATGATTTTGGGTTTGCTCTTTAGCGTGGTTCTGTGATTAGCAACTTTTATGTGAATGGGTAAAACTGTTAACCCTCAAGTATCTACCAAAACTCTAAAAGAAAAGCTGCTCCTAACCATAAGATCCACAAAACAACATCTTCCAATAGGGCAATGTGCTCTGACGCACTTCCAAGGTAATGCAAGAAATGCAAGATTTTTGTACTTGACTGGGAAGACTGGGAAGAGTCGTGACTGGGAAGACTGGGAAGAGTCATGATTTTACTCTGATTGAAAAAATTACAGACAGTTTTCAAGCTAAATGTCAAAAAAAAAAAAATGTCTCACAACATAGAAAAACTGTAGAAAAACTTTTTGAAGTTTGTGTAAAAAAGTCTAAAACTAGTCCACAGTATGCCTCACCATTTGAGGTTACTCACCATTTGAGGTTACTCACCATTTGAGGTTACTCACTATTTGAGGTTACTCACTATTTGAGGTTACTCACCATTTGAGGTTACTCACCATTTAGCTTCTGTATTAAAAAAATCATGTTTATCGTATAAAGTACTGACATTATTGCCATATTTTTTTGATAATTTATTTGATAACTATGTTCTAGTGCTTTTTTGTTAGTCAGATGTGCAATTTAAGTACCGCAGTGCTATATTTACTTTTTATTCATGCAATAAAAAGCGTAAGGTTTGAATTTTTCTTAGAAACACGTGATTTCAAACGTTTCTTAGAAACACGTGATTTCAAACGTTTCTTAGAAACACGTGATTTCAAACGTTAGGCCTCCATTGTATGTGGATACTAAGAATAATTTGTTTGCTGCTGAACTTGGAAATATCTACTATATTTTTCACCAAAATCTGGTAAAAGCAAAGATGTTGCAGATTACATATTGTCAGAAATTACCAAAGTAAATGTATCTTTGGATATACGAGTTGTCAGTTGTGATAGCACCAATGTAAGCACAGGTTCTAAAAGAAGAGTAATACAGAACTTGTAGAATGTTTTGAAACGTCCACAGTAATGGCTTATTTGACTTTTGCAACACAAAAGAACTTTCATTAAAGCATTTTAAATAACTTGATGATCCAACATCCGACAGGAGTTTGTTTATAGGACCAATTGGTAAAGCCAATCAGTTATGTGAAAACTGTTGTAATATTTTAATCTATTACAAATGAAGCCAGCTTACCTAAATTATCAAAAGGAACCCTTCTAATTTTAGTAAAGATCAGCAGTATATGTACTACAACATTCTTGACACTAGATATGGAAATGTGACAGCTCTTGCCAGGATGAATCCTCGATCAGTAAAGTTTAAATCCCTCTGCTCTAATAAAGAGAAATATCAGATATTTCTATCTATATCTATAACATCTGTATATATATATATATATATATATATATATATATATATATATATATATATATATATATATATATATATATCTGTGTGTGTGTATGTGTTTATATATAAAATTTATAAGTGCATATATATATATATGTGTGTGTGTGTGTGTGTGTGTGTGTGTGTGTGTGTGTGTGTGTGTGTGTGTGTGTGTGTGTGTGTATGTATGTTTATATATATAATTTATATTTGTATATTTGTGTATATATATATATATATATATATATATATATATATATATATATATATATATATATATATATATATATATGCACATACATTTATATACATATGCATGTAAATTTTATATTACCTGACTTTGAATATGTTTGATTTTAGTTACAAACTTTTGTGAAATCAATTAAAGATCAAGGTACAGCTAAACGCATAATAGAACAGGCTCAAGAAAAAATTCGCGCTAATATTGAATGGAAAAAATATAATGAGAAAGTTATTGAAAAATGGTTAGTGGATCAGAAATTAGAATGAAGAAATCAAATTACATTTATTAAAACCAATCTGACGGTTTGTGTAAAAAATAATTTCGCCCAATTATCACTAACAGTGTTGAAATAACAAAGAACATGAAATTTAGTACAAGCGTGTTTCATTTCTATTTTAGAAAATCAAATTTATATTAGGTTTAATTTCGATTAAATTTTTATTATTGTAAAGTTATATTTTATATATTAATTCTAATTTTAGTATATATTTCATTCATTTCTTTACTGTTTAAACTTATTAGGGAATATAACCAAACAATGGTTTTGTTATTCAAAATTAAGATGAAGAAACCCCCTGATACTTTTATCTTAAGAAAGTTTTTGCATAAACAACCATTATCCTAGTATTTTCGCTAAAAACATCTAAATCTAACCATAATTTTTCTTTAAAAATTATCGATTGACACTATATAACAAGAGATTTTAATGTTATAATTTACACTTAATTTTAAATATGTTAAAAAATTTTAAATTTTTATGTAACAATCTTAACAAAAAATTGTAAAATTTAAAAAAAACGGAAATGAAAAAAAAATGTTTTTAAAAACGCTTCTAAACAACTCGTTTCCACAAATTTTTCGGTCGTTTAGATGATATGACGGTGTATTCCAACTTCATGAAACAAATTGAAATAACATATCGTTCATTATTGTTTTAAAATATATCATTGATAATGGTTTTAATTGACACATTATTTAAATGATTAGATAAAAATTTTAAAATAGTTTTAATTGTTTTTAAAATGATAAAAACCCGTCAAAATAGTTAGATTCTATATTGATTATCGACGTCAGTGCCTGGAATAAATAAGCTTATTCAATCAGCGCCTAATTGAATATGCTTATTCAATCAGGTACTGATTGAATAGATCAGTCAGTTGAATAAATCAATCAGGCACTGATTGAATAAGGTGCCAGTTTAGGTTCTGGAAGAGAAATGATAAAATCATCTCCGTTTTTAAATCTTAAGACTCATGTTATAATAACTATCCATAAAGTCTTATATATTTTAAACAATAAGTTTAACTAATTTTTTTAAATGCAATTTTATGCGGACATTAAGGATTTTCATAATGCTTCTAAGTTTTTGCTCTGAAAAATGTAAAATAGTTTACAACTCCAATTGTATATATATATATACAATTGGAGTTGTAAATATATATATATATATATATATATATATATATATATATATATATATATATATATATATATATATATATATATATATATGTATATATATATATATATATATATATATATATATATATATATACATGATTGCTAAAGTGAATCTATCCTAAACTAAACTCTTGCCAAACAGGGCTTTCTAAAAAAAATACACATTAGACATGGATATCATGGGGTAGACTCGTATATAGACTTTACAATAGACTATAGTTACACCTTGAACATAAATATTAGTAATAAAAGGTCCAAATCATGTTAGTCCTGCGTATGTATTTCCTAGAATTTATCTCTTACTAGCAAATCTCGAGAATCCAAAAATGGCTCTAATAAAAAACTTATTAGGTTTTGTTGAAGACGATAATTGAAAAAAGACGAAAAATAAAAAAAGAAACTTTAAAAAAAAAAATTTTAAATTTTTAAATATCTTTGATTTTGAAAGATATTTAAAATTTGCCGATTAATATCTAAATGGTGGCAATTTTTTTGTTTTAGTTAAATAAAGTACTAACTTTCGGTCGATTTATGACAGCGTGTGTAACAGCATCTCGTAATTTGCCCATGTTTTTAAAAGACTCGTTAAAAAAAATAATAAAAATCAAAAAATACTTCGTCTTCCTTGCCAAATCCACTAAAACTTTGAACAAAAAAAAAGATAAAACTTTGATAACCATAAAATCTTTTTAACTTAAATTTAACTTTAAGTTTGAATTTAAATCTGAAATTTTTAACTTTTTTTTTTTTAATTTAACAAATTACATTCCAACTAGGCTCTTTAACAGAAACTTTAGACAAAATTTGCGATTATCTGGACATCTAAGATAGGCGAAAAAAAATATATATATACTTGCAAACCAAATATATTCTTTATATATAACTCAACAGTCAAATTCAACTCAACGGTCAACAGATTATTAATTGCTTAAAAACTACTAGTAGTATCCATTCATTATTAGAAATAGATTAAATTTCATTGAAAAAATTAATTTATTTAAAAAAATTTCTGTCATTAAATGTAGACCAAGGTAAGTTTGAAACCCCCTCTATTTGAAGGGGCTTTCAACTTTACAAGGTCATGACTTTTGAACTATAAATTTTTTTTTTAATTAAATGAGAATTTTACAGATCAATTTTGGTCGTTTAACATTGTTGATGAACGGATACTTCCCAGAGTTCTAAGCTCACCATGAGTTTGAAAATTTTGCGTTTTTACTTTGCTAATGTTACACCAAGAGCAAAAATGGCAGCACTTTTAATTCCAAAAAATATATTCACTAATTTCATATCAAAAGCACAAATATACTTTAAGTCATTTAGATTCAAAATAGTGATAATTTTTTCGAAATTTGAATGATAGTCAGCCTCGTTTTCTGTTAAGCCAATAATAAACAATTTGTTTACGCCATTATCTTGGTATTTTGATTGCCTCCTCATCGCTAAACTTTTTTTTTTTGACATTACATGTCACTTTTTCTATAATATTTAAACAAACTTTTAAAAATCCGCCTTTAACGTCAATGCCTTTAAAATGTAATTTTTTGACAATTTTCTATTTTTTATTAGTGCCTCAATAAGTCTTTTAATGTTTTTACAATAAACCAAATGTCTAAAATGTCTTATTTTGTTATATCAAAATAATCATTTTAAAATATATCTTCTTCACCACTTAGTTTCACTTAGCTTCTCTCTTACTTTCAAACAAGTCTTTTTCTTTCAAGCTTCTAAATATGCTAAGAATTTTGGCTCCCTGTCTATTACTATTACAAGTGTTTTTAAATTTATTTAGTTTGGAAGTTAGCATTTTTTTCAACTGGAAAAAGTAATTTTGCAGAGTTTTTCGACTGTTCAACGGCAGGTGCTGTACCTTTGGCTGCAACATTAATTTTAGAAAAAAACTATTTTTATTTTTTATTTTTTGTATAACCACCAAAAATATTTTTTATATAGTTTAAACATTAATTTTTTTTCAGTTTAATAGTCCAGAATTTGTGAAATGTATAAAAAATAAGATTTACTTCAAATTGAAACAAATCTTAAAATAAAAAAAAAATAAGATTTGTTTTAAATTGAAACAAACCTTTTTTTTTATTTAGGCTTTTGCAATTTTTAAATGAAGTTATATTTCTACCTATATACCTTATTGGGAAAATAGGCCCTTGAACCTGTTTTTTGCATAATTTCTCGCATGTTAACTATTTGTCTTCACCATAAAGGTGTTGTATTTTTAGTTATTTGGTCTAAATTTTGTTTGGTGTTAAACTAAGAGTGTTTTTGATTTTGTTTTTATTTTTTACACTAACGTTTACGTAAAGTTTTACGTTTACAAAAAAAACCTAAAAATGAATAAATAAAACTTGATAATATGTTTAAAACATCTATTGTTTAAAATGTCTAAAAAGAACACACTGAATTTGTTAATTAATTGTTATTTAAGAACACACTGAATTTGTACTAAAGTATGTTTAAATGGGTCAAATATGGTGTCAGATAAAGAAGAGATAAAGAAGGTTATTTACTTTTATACCTTTTGGTATACATTTAAGCAGAGCCGGCTCGTGGGCATTTCTTGGTGTGTATCAAAAAAAAAAATTCCTGCCCTAATGAATGAAATTTTTTGCCCTAACAGCAGTTTATTAACTTTATACTTTTATAATTAAAATGTTATCTAAAATTATTTAAGTAAGGCGAGTAGAGTGTTATATTTATACAAAAAAAGAAAGCAAAATTGTAAAAATAACTATTCAAATCTCAATAAAGAGTCGCTCTAATTAAAGAAAAAATTGTTATTCCAAATTGGAAAAAAAATTAAACTTATTAACTTCTGGTATTTATCATTAAATTCATCCACTATTGGCTGTTTTTTTTATGCATAAAAAAAAGTTAAAATATAATCGAATATTTAAGTTGGAAATAAAAGTATGGAAAATTTGAAATTTTATCAAAACCTAAATTAGAATTTTGTTGTTGTTTTGGAAGTGGCACTTTTCTGGCTTTCATTTGAGCAATTTCGTATTTAACGACTTTGTTGTTTTGCTCTCAATAGAAATAATCAAAAGTTCAGATTTTCTTGACTGATGTTTAATCGTAAATAGTTTTTGATTAACTTTAGTTTGAAAGATCTTTCGACAGACTGTGACTGGAACTTTTAGTAAGATTCTCAATGCAATACAAGGATTGGAAATATTTCTTCAAGATCACGTGTAAATAAAACTTGGCTTGTTTCAATTTTACAAAATCAACAACAACAAGATTAAGTGAATGTGCAGTACAAGAGACAAAATGCTCGCTTATTTCTTTCTAAAATTTTCTTTTGTAAGCTCTTATTTTTGCCTCACATATTTGCACTATTGTCGTATGCCTGCCCTCTTGTATCTTCAAGTTAAAGTTTATTTTCATTCAATGAAGTCTTATTTTATTGCTCCTATCTATGACCTGTAAAATTAAATTTCTTAATTTATAGCATATATTACATCAAAAAAATCAGGAAAATTTCAAAAATTTACTAACCTGTGGTATCATCAATAATGATAAAATTCAAGAAACTTTCTTGGATGTCGACAACCACTGAATCGTTACGTTTTTCTATGACTAGATATCGTATGATAAGACTTTTCCTGATGACTGGCATTTGGTGTGCAATCCTCAATAATGGAATAGTATTTCGCATTCCAAATTTTTTAAAGGATTTCCTCTCTAGTAGCATGAGCCATTAAAAGGTTAATTTCTTCTTGGATATTTTTACTCAAATAATGAGTTTTGTTTGGATTTTTCCCTGCTTTGGAGACATGAAATTCTATAATTTGGTCAAATTCTGCCATAAGTTCAACTATTTTTAAGAAATTTCCATTGTTTTCTTGATACAATTTATCAGATGATCCTCTAAATGCTATGCTTTGTGATGCCATCATAA